TGTTGAATGGACTTCAAATGACATACAAGCTCATTCTGAAACCTAGTAAGCTGAATGCTGCCTACTTAGTCAGCATCTTAACTTCTCAAGTGCAGTGCATTCTGGGATTTTCTTAGACATGAAGTGCAATGCTGCCATATAATTTGGCCTAAACAAATGATGGTGTCTACTCTGTCTGAGGTTTATTATATCATGGGTTTTTATCAAACTTTTTGGTCCCACTTTATATTAAGTGGCCTTAACTACTATGTACTTACATTTAAATGAATCATTTGGTACAGTGCACTTATTGTGTACATACATGTTTTTACGTTGTACTTATGTTTAAAAATACCTGCATGTAATTGCATCTGTAATTAATTTCTGTATTTACATTTATCCATCCCTTACACCTTAACTCACCCTTAAACCTACCCATACCACCAAACCTGTTTCTAACCTTACCCCTATCCCACCTCAATATCAGCAAACGTGTTTTGCAATACAATATAAACACAATAAGTACATAGGGCTGCCCCCTAATAGTCGACTAAACGTTAGTTGAGCAGAAGAGGCTTGGTCGACCAAAATTTTATTAGTCGCTTAGTCGCAGAAAATAAATAAATAAATAAAAATCCACATTGGCGAAGTCACGCGGATCGTTAACGGCTGTGGTAGTACATCGGGCAGGACATACAAACGCTCGCCTATCATTCATCGACCTCAAATATGGCTTATCATCTGAAATATGTAAGTAGCAGCAATGTTACATGGCCGCTCAATAATGTTAACGTGGAAAAATGTGCGCTATTCAAGTGTCTGTGCGGTGTGGAAGCTGAACCGTAGCGCTCACTGCAGGACAGATGGAGGAGCCGGTCTGCTCACTTGCTCTTAAAATACTCTCTCATTTTTGCTCATACAGATAAGAGTAATACATCTTTCAAATCTGTAAAGACTACATTTATTTTTGTGCACTCACAATAACAACAAAATACTGTGCTTTTGTAAAATAATGAAAGCATACAGGATGCACTTTCTGGCCTTTCAGTCTCTGTGAACTTGAGCACGAAACTCAGTGTATATTTGTCTAACAGACATGAAAAAATATATCTATAGAGAGCGAAATGTCAACTTTCGAATAAACCATGAAATGAAAAACAAATATTCCCAGATTATGTAATCCATATGAAACATGCATACAGGCACATCCACTACTGCAAAGATGATGAGTCAGTGTCGCCGACTTCATCTCTTAAACCGAAAACAAAGAAAGCACTAGTTTATCAATGAATTATTAAAATGTTAATGCAGCCTCCTTACTGTTTTTCCCTGACACATTCATAATCATTAATTCTTCTGTCGCTGTGTTGTGGCAAGCTTATACGTGCACTTGAGCGTTTAGGCTATGTAGGCAATTAAAGGCTCATTATTATGATTTAAATGGTTTATTAATAAATGTGCGATTAGTCGACTAATGCTTCAAATGAACGACTACTAGTTGACCAGAAAAATCTTTAGTCGAGGGCAGCCCTAGTACGTTGTACTTATTTTTTGATGCAAGTACTTAGTAGTTGAGGCTGCTTAATATAAAGTGGGCAAACTTTTTTTTTTAACAAAAGCCGTAGGAAGAATATGTGGCCTCTCTGGTTGTAAATAGCTTAGCTGTACAACAAAGACTTGCATAAGAAACATCGCCATCCTTTTTTGTTTAACTTTTTCCAGTTTATTTCAGAGTCTGCAAGGCAAGATAACAACCTGATGAAATTTTTAGTCCATCCACACACTCAAACACATTTCTTTCTGTGTCTGGAACCAGTCAATCCTTACATTCCCTCACGGCCGAATCCATAAAGCCGAGATAGCTCCACACAGACAGATTATTGGAGTCTTCTCATGTCTATCTATAGATTATGTCTCAGTTACACTTGCTTGCTTTTCCTGCAAACTACATACCAGTTGTTGTTAGATAAAGCCCTGGCATTATATTCAAACGTCAGATTTCTATGGGTGCTCTATTCAAGTAACCCTTCTTTTCTCCCAGGGGAACAAATATTTGTTCTCCCCTGAAATGCTTATTTTGTTTGAGTGACATGTTGCTTTTCCGCTATGGTTTGCACCTCACTCCAAAAGTAAATTAATGCAATTAAAGAATATTTCTGCAAAGAGATTTAACAGTTTGGGCAACTGAAATATGATTTGCAAGCTCGGTTACAGAATCAAGACTCTGGGAAGGGTGCAAATATTTCACAGCTTTGAGTGGCTCATCAGCTGAATTAACCGGCTGACATTTCATGGGCCGCCTGAGCGCATCAAAATGACAATGCCATAGAACGGACCAAATTGCAGAGTATCAATTTGTGTCAGACACTATGGCTGCCCCTGGTGTTGTGGACAATTTGCAAGATGAAACTTGATTTAGGTGATGAAAAATGCACCAGACAGGATAAATAGAAATGATAATGTTACAAATAACAGCAATCATTGTCTAATCAATGTCTGACAGTTTTCAGTCATGTTGAAGTCCTCAAGGTCATATTTGGGACTGTGAGATGCTTGCGAGGATTCTGTGGGTAGCATACAATCTCTCTCTTTCTCTTTCTCCATTCCCAGAACCCTCTATTTAGAGATTCTTATGTTCTGATGTGTTCTACTTGATGTACAGCATAATGTAACAACTTGGCTGCTGAAAATTCAGCTTTACCATCATAGGAATAAATTACAAATCTTTAAATGTATTCTAATAGAAGACTGTTATTTTAAATTATTATAATATTTTACAGTATTGCTGTTTTTACTGTATTTTAGTAAAATAAATGCCTCTTTGGTGAGCATAAAAGTCTTCTTTCAAAAATATTTAAAAACAAACATACTGACCCCAAACGTTTGAATGGTAGTGTATCTATTTGGAAAAAAAAAAAGAAAAGATTTCTGTATGATATTGTTTCTGTGTGTGTGTGTGTGTGTGTGAAAATCTCAATTATATCTCAATTATAATATAATATAGTTTAAGAAAACGGTCTATACAGTACATTATGTACCATCATGCCAGTATTTCAGACATGGAATTCTATAATATAGTCTCCAGTTTCTAGACAACAGTGCAATAAGTGCTTTAAATTTCTCTGATTCTTTCCTTCATGATGTTAGAGTTTTAAAAGAGCCAGTGTACGTCAATCTATCTGACAGCACCATGATGGTTTATAGAGGAGAAATACTGTTTTTGAAAGAACAATAAGAGACTGAAGCTAGCAGTTTTAGTCTTGTGGAGAAAAATGATGATGTTTGTATGAGATCTGAGGAACCAACGTATGGCTTTGTCTGAGAAATGGATCCCCCTCAGGGAGAATGATATTTATGATCTATCAGATAGGAAACACAGCAGAAGAGAAAAGCCTGGAAATCTCAGTGACTTTTCTGCAGAAACAAAACACAATCCTTCCATTCCGCTTTGCCCTTCCTGCACCTGAGAGGATGTTTGATTTACACCCCGCAAAGTCCAGGATTAACTGTAATATCAGGGCTGGAGCGTTTGTGTCGATTGCTTGCGCTCAAAAACAACGTGATGTTCTAAAAATGTACACCCAAAAAAGATCTCTTTATTCAGGAGAAATTAGCTAAAGCAGGCAATTTCACACCCCGGCGAATTTCTGCGGTGTTTGCAGGTACAGTACGCTCTACACCCGTTTAATCTGTATTAAATGTAATATATGGTCAGACCGTGCAAAATTAGTATGGCAGAGAATTAGCAACCACATTAATTTGCAAAAAATAGCCCAGATGGCCTTTTACCAACAGGGCTCAACATTGTGAGCATTTCACTTGCATTTGTGACTAAAAATAGATGTGTGCAAACTGTAAAATATATTTGGAAACATGTGTATGCAAATAAAAAAAAAGTCTCTGCTGAGTTTTAGGAAATGTAAGGTCATAAAAAGTCTTATATTTTACTGCAACTGTAAAATGTGTTTAAGAGCATGTGTGCGAAAAAAAGAAAAGAAAAAAAATCCCCATGGAGTTTTATTAAATGTAAGGTCATAAAAAGGCTTGAATGTCTTAAATGATGTAACAATTGTCTTAATTATTATTTTAAAAGGTCTTAAATTTGGGGATGGAAAAAAGGAATCACTAAACAGCCTAATGTGATTATTTAGGCTATAATTTCATTAAATAAATATGAGCCCTGCACATTTAAAAGTAAAATCGTGGCGCTGTTGCATGTTCTACAGGCTCACCATTTCAGAATACAGCACATTTATACCAATAAATTGCTTATGATCTACTGTTGATGAATTATGGTAGTATTTATTTTGTTTGCATATTAACGTATGTTGTAGATGGTTGTAAGAGTCCCAGAATCCTCCTTTAGTTTGTCTCCCTCATCTTTTTGAAAAGCTGTCAATAGTATAGGCATTTCAAAATAAGAGTCCCGATGTACTTCGGGCTTGTTTATAATTAGAAGTCCCACATTGTGCATAAAGGTTATATAGTTAACTAGAAATATTTAACTCATTCTAATAAATCATTTTGCTTTTAAATATCTCCTTGTATCCCTTTATTAGAAAAAATCAGTATTTCAATTTAAGAGCACATGTGCATTGGATAAAAGTAAACGTCAAGCCCTAATAAAACTAAGCACTTGCTCAGAGCATATGGCTGTTGTCTTGGCTTCAACTGACAGGCTCTAGGACCCAGAGCACAATGTCAGATTTGGGAAGCAGGCAGGGGGCAGGACTTGCTTCCTCAGAGCTTTTGTGGCAGAAAGAGCCATTGCAGCTTTGTCAACCCATTACCATAGTTATCAAGAAAGCCAGACCCACAACCAGCCCGAGTCAATTACCATTGAGAGACAGTCATTTGCAGGCAGTGGCCTGGCATATTGGTATTATCACAGGTCATATTTGAATAAAGTCACCTTTCCTGGTCTCTCTATTTAGCATCCAGCATTCATTATCTTCGAAAGCCAGATAAAGATATCTCATATATCATCATCATTGAGTGATTCTTTGCTTACATCCGCACAGGTTGTTTACAAAAACAATGACATCCGGCTGGAGCTCTCCCGGCTCGCCCGCATCGTGGATCCCAAAATGAAGATCCAGGGAGATGTGGTGTTCAAGTGCGAGAACGTGGCCACCCTGGACCCCATCTCGTTCGAGACACCCGAGGCCTACATCAGCCTACCCAAGTGGAACACCAAACGCATGGGCTCCATCTCCTTCGACTTCCGTACCACCGAACCAAACGGTCTTATTCTCTTCACCCACGGGAAGCCACAGGAAAGAAAGGACGCCCGTAGCCAAAAGAACACAAAAGTGGACTTTTTTGCAGTAGAGCTTCTGGATGGAAGTTTGTACCTGCTGCTGGACATGGGCTCTGGGACTATCAAAGTGAAAGCCACACAGAACAAGGTGAACGATGGGGCCTGGTATCATGTGGACATCCAACGAGACGGAAGATCAGGTCAGTGTGTGGATTCGCAAACTAATACACTCACACACACTTAAGTGCATTCTTTATTCCATGCTTAACACATTTAATAAATGCCTTTGATTTTTTTTTTTTCAAAATCCAGTCTGTTTTTTTATTGTATATAATTTTTATGTACTTTAACTATTTTATTTAACTTTTTAAAATCATTATTTTTTAACTAACTTTTGCACTATTCTGTATTGCAGTAAAGCCATTGTTGGCACATTTGATAGCTTTTCATTTTTCTCATTTGTTTCTTTGTACAAATCTAAAGTTAAACCTCCAATAGATGAGAAATTCAAAAAAAAAAAAATATATATATATATTATTATTATTATTATTAATTTTTAAATGGAAATTATATATTTATTTAGCTTTTGTTGCTTATGTTAACAGGTTACAGTATTACAGTGTAGTTTAGGAGAAATGTGCTGTAGGTATAATTAGTGTTTTTGTGCTAAGCCTATTTTTTTGCTCTGTGTACATTGCTGAATATTATATGGCTGCTAATAAAGGAAATATTCAATATAGTAACCTAAAATCACTCCATAATATTTATGGTAGGAAAACCATTTGTTAGAAGCACAAAGCAAACCTGCTATTGTGGTTGTGCTGTTGCTTCGTTTGCCTTATGAAATAGACCTAAAGGTACTGTAGGAGACAGGGTTGAAAATGGCTTTGTACATCTAATTTGTGACAGAAATGACTAACATTTATAAATGCAATTCAAGGAAAAAGTCTTTAAAATCGATTCCCAAATGGGAAATGTGCTCTTAAGAAATAAAGACATTGCCCATAAATTGTATCTCATTTTAAAACCAATTTTTAACTGATTACATGAATAACTCCCACTTTGTTTCATTATTAAATCGGTTGGATACTGTAATTGCTTGTGTGTTTTCCATAGGCGTTAAGCTCTGCAGCCCAAAGATAACAGCTTTAAACAAAAAGCACAGTGGTTAGTCACCAATAATGGACAGATTTAGTCCAAAGCAGGCTGACATTTTCATTTCATTTCATATCTACTTTGACAGAACTTTCTATTAGGTTTTATCCCCTCTATCTTTCTCTGTATCCTCCTTCACCTCTTTCATTCTTTCATTGCCCTTGAATCTCTTGCACTCTGTTTCTGAATCGATCGACGACTACTCCCTATCACTTCATAGCACAGGGCCCTTGGGAGGTCTTGTAGGATATCAATAATGCGAAGTTTTAGACAGAGCCATGTGGGTGACTGGACTGGTGTCAGTTCTGTAGCGATTATTCCCATTGATCCCTGGTTCCCCACATGGGATGCATTGTTTACATCTTTGTGTCTGTATGAGGGACGCCACTTTAAAAGAGTAACACACTCCCCATGAGGTCATAAATAGAAAATAATCTTCTCGTAGCCCCCAACTCCCTCCATCACTTACTCTATGGATAGTCTTTCCATCACTATCTTTGTCTCTTGTGGACAGGATAGACAGATGAACCCTGCTGGATTACGCAATGCAGTAATTTACAGTACTTTAGTTTGTCTAGAGTTTATAGTCTCTCCACATAAAAAAAACAAAACATTTTTATTTATTTATTTAATGTATTTTATTTTTTATTGTATTTGTATTTATATTTTACAAATTATGAATACATTATTCATAATATAA